CGGCGTGGACGTGGACTCTGGACTCTGGACTCGGACTCACTTGGTGATTTGTCAGCTATAAGCGGGCGAGTCCTGTCCTGTCCAGTGCCTTCCTCGCCGGCATCTTGGCAGGTAAAGTCATAGGGGCCTTAGTCGGTCATTGGGTCCGGCTGATTAAGCGATTCGAGCCGGTGGCCGAAGGTCGCCCTGCGGAGTGACACCGCAATAAGTTGATCGGGGCCATCAAGGACACGCCGACGACAAGGACTTGCTGGGTAGACTGGGAAAACGGGGAAAGGTGGGAATGGTGGGAAAAGTGGGAAAAACCGCAGTCGAAAGACGATGACGTTGGCGAAAAGACAAGGCACTTCCTCAGCTGCTGCGATTATCGAGCACAATTCGACAGATTAATATCCAGTTATTGCATCGAAAATATTTATAATTGAATTACACCGAAATAATTGACTATTTTCTTGTACACTGTGGACTGTACACTGATACTAAAATAGATGAGTTAAAATAAATGTCTGATTTATAATATTTAATTAAAATATCAAATCATAATACAATAAATACAATAATTCATTTCATGATTTATCATAATATTGAAATATGTTATTATTGTGAAAAATTTTAGGTAGTTTATATTTTATTTAAATGCATTTTATTTAAGTTAAGTTAATTTAATTTAATTTTAATTATATTGTTATTAATATGCCAGCGTGGCAAGTTTTAATTTAAATTTAGTTTTCAGAAATTTAAATCAATTCCGAAAATAGTCTATTAAATAATTTTAATATTTTTAAAAACCACAAAAGACGAAAATCAAAGCGAAAAATAATCAAAATGAGTAAAAAATAGCTGGGATACACTATGTTTTTTTTTACCAGTGAGTCCTCATGTGCTTTACTTCAGATATATATTATATATCCACAGGTAAAAGAAACATTAAATTAGTTATTGCATTTTTTAGGAATTTATAAAGCTATTGATTGCAAAAGCACTGCATTTCTGAAAGTTGTCATGTTTTAAGGCGATGAACATGATTAATTGGAATTAACTTGCTGAACCTCCATGCTTTCACCTTATGAAAGCCAACTATCCTTGTGCGCTCCCGGAAATGGCAACCCTTTCTTTTTAAGCCCTGAGCCAAAGACAATCACACTTTAAGTCGGACTTTCTTTCCTGGCCCCCCAACTAATCCACCCGCGTGGTGGCAGCCGGAACAACAGGGTATTCCTGCAGAGCAGGTTATAAAAACATGTGTAACTAGACGACTTACAAGGATCACGCACTCCAGTGACACTTAATGCCGCCACGTCGACGCCGGAGATGGCGACGGCTATGGAGATGGCAATGGAGGAGCAAGGACGATGAGATGAGGAGGCCAAATGTCAGCGACTAACACAGACAAACGCAATTAGCTTTTAGCCATCATAACATTATGAACGGCAGGCGACAGGCAACGAAGGCAACGAGGAGGCGACGACAACGACGACGACGTCGTCTGAATGCTAACTGCTAATGACAAGGATGTGGACGACAAGGACGCCGACGAGGGGAATCCGGTGGCACAAACTGAAACTGAAACTGAAACTAGGGACGAATGCGATGCGATGCGATGCGATGCGGTTAGGATGAGTGCCGTCGAGCTGTGCGCATTATGTTGAGTTAGAGCACGGCAGTGGATGTGGATGTGGATGTGGAAGTGGAAGCTCACGGATGGCACGCGGCTGCCAACAATGCTGTTAACTTGTGTCGAGATTAAAATAAGGACACTCGGAGAGCGGAAAAAGCCCCAGACCAGGATGGACGTGCCCTCAGCACCGAGCAGCAAAAGTCACAGCCACAGCCACAGTCGCCTGCTCCTCGCCTCGCATGAGTTGCGAGCTGAAGCTTTGTTTATTACGCTTCTGAATCTGAATCTGAATCTGAGTCTAGCTCTGGAAAATGGTAAATGGGTGATGCAGTTGCCTGTTGACTGAGGCCAAAGTGTCCTTTGTCCCCTGTCCCCTGTCCTCTGTCCTCTGTCCTCTGGCTGAATTGGATAATTCCGAGGGGGCAGCGGCGGCTTTGGCGTGCTCATCATCCAGTTGGCCTCAAAAATTACTGCGTAAATGATGATATGAGATTTGGGGCATTTCTGCGGCATCATTCAACGGAAGCGGATACACGAGTATGCCACGACACGGAGTCGGTTGATGTTGTCGCCACCGGAAGGAAGTTATTTAACGCACACACACAGAGGAACACACACACACACACACACACACACACACACACACAGAGGAAGTGCGGAAGATGGGGATTATGTGGCACGATAATCATATTACGATTACGTCGCGTAAAATTTGCCCCACTGTCGGATGAGTGAGTGAGTGACTGAGTCAGTGAGTGGGTGAGTGAGTGAGTGAGTGAATGAGGTTTAAGTGGAAGCTACTACCGGTGCCACTGAGATGGGGCCAGACAGATATGAAGAGCTACGGCATCAAATAATTATACATGTATATACATGGGCAGTGATCGGGGGCAAGGGCGTGCTCGGAATATCCTTGTTAGGAACTAGGGAAACGCTCCAAAATGTGATGTGCTTAGGTGGAATCCACGAAGCGAGCATCCCTGCTTAAGCCCTTTTTTTTCATAATTGTTTAATTTTATTTCATTGACTGTCGAGGCAGCCTGTCACCGTCACCGTCTCCGTCGCCGTCGCCAATCGTCGTCAACGTCGGGCTCCCATACCCATACCCATTCCCATACCCATTCCCATACCCATTCCCATACCCATTCCCATGCTCATACCCATACCCATACCCATTTCTTTTGTGGACGTGGAAGTGGATGTGGGCACGAGATGCGGATCGCTTAGCATTAATGTCTTTCATTTATTGTCATTGTTGTTAATGTTTTTGTGCTGTGCATGGGAAAAAAGCATTTGCATTTAAGCGCTGCGAACGCGGCAAGTGGATGGGGTTACTCTGGTGGATTGGATGCTGGGTTTCTCTGTGGCCGGAGCAGAGATTTTGCTTGGATGATTTTTATTGCTCGTTTGTAGTAAATTTGGTGTGTAATTAGAGAGAAAAGGGTTATTATGTTCGTTAACGCAGTGAGCTCAGCCCAGCGCCATTCCCATTCCCATTCCCATTCTCCTTCGCTTGGCGCCAAGGCTTTAAACTGGATATTGCAAAAAGGAAGCGGGACCCGAGGGAAGGACCAGCATTTCACGCGACACAATGCCGACCAAAGACGCACCACAAAACGACTGCCTCTGACGACCGGAAGGTCTTGGACACAACAGCAGTAAGCGGGCAGTAAGCGGGCAGTAGAGCGGGCAGTAAGCGGGCAGTAAGGCAGTAAAGCACTAAAACGAACGGACAAGGCGAAACGGCTGAACTACTGAACTGCTGCAAAAAACTGCACCGAAACCAAAACAGAAATTAAATTGTGGCTCGCCAAAGTGGTCCAGGCCGGGGGTCCTGGGTCCTGAGTCTTGGGTCCTGGGTCCTCGGTCCAGGGGAAAGCCAGTTAAAATGGAAATGGAAGTGGAAATGGAAATGGGAACGAGAGAAAGTTCTGAGCAAGTGCAGTTTAGCTTAGGGGTATACTTGTCGTGTGGGCTAACGTGTTAGGGGTCACTTTTTCCCAAGACGCAGTGACTTAAAATTGAAATAAACAAAAAAGTTGTCATAAAAATGAGCCAGTGGCTTTTTAAGTTAAAGTGTTTTTTTTAAATACGTTTAAAATACTGACAGCCATAGACAATTGTTTAGAGAGTCCAATAAGCAATGCTAAAAAACGGAATAGTTTAGTATTAAATTTAACATATTTTATTTCATATTAGAATACAATTTAAAACCATAATGATAATTACACTGCATTGCTAACTTTTTTATTTACTTATTTATTGTGAATAAAAATTAGATAGTAGTGCATGTTTCTCCTATAGTCTACTATTGTGATGAATAACAACTTATGCTACAGTTTGACTACTTTAGTATTAAATTAAAATTTTTGAGCTTTCGTAGAAAATATAAGATTAAAAATAGGTCTTATTTGTTTAAAAAGCAATATCTCCAACAAACTACATTTTCAAAAATTTAAAACAAATTCAAAAATGTAATACTTTCATGTTTAAAAAAACAAAAAAAACACAATGACCAAAGCAAAACACATTAAAATTGACTTGAATTTACTACCTTTGCTAACAGTTAATTAAATAAAGAAAACATAGGGCCAAGAAGGGACATCACACCAACATAACTATCTTACTTGTAATTTGAGCTCAAATTAATTAATTTATTTTTAAATTCAATAAATGCTTCAAAGGCATAAATAACTGTAATAGATGAGCTAAATTATTTAGACCGCAAGCGCCCACGCTGCACCCCAGAAACAAGTTTTGAACTGAAAAACAAGTAATTAAATGAAATGTACTCTCGCCGCCGTCGATATGTTAATTACACGTATAATAATTTATATCAATTTATAAATTGCATTGCGGCAAGTCTGTTGTCTGCTAATTTGTGCCTGCCCTATTAAGTTTCTCGTTTGGCTTGCCGTTGGCCAACCGGATGTCCCGGCATTTTAGGTGTGTCGCCTCTGTCCAGATGAGAGTGATACAATGACAACGACTCCGGGTCAGGGTTTTTTTTTTATTTTATTTGTTGCATTTCTGTCCCGACCATGGAAATAAAATTTCAAACGTAACTTTGCTGCGGTAGCCAGTTGGCGAGAGTCCTGTGTGTCCTTTCCGCAGTTGATGTGCATGATGTGCACATGTGTGTGTGTGTGTGGGGCACGGAGTTGGCCAACTCTGGCTCCATCTTGGCCCCTTGCGTTTCGAAGAAAGACCTTCGCCTCGCCTTTAAGGGCAATGCAGTTGGCATAAAATTTAATTCTCCGTCCAGGGAGGAAGCGCCCAGGACATTACGTGCTGGCTGGCAGTGTCGTTTCCCGCTTCCATCTCAAGCAATCGCCGTCGGAATCGCAATCGCAGTTGCCTGGCAAAGCACTTCGGCACGCATAGAAACAAGTTCGGAATCGGAATCGGAATCGGAGTAGGAGTAGGAGTAGGAATCTCAACGGGTGGCGTTCAGACATATAGCATATAGACATAGGAGCATATCGACGGGATCAGCCACAATCAAAGTTCAGGCAATGGAAGTGGAAGTGGGAGTGAGAATGAAGGACGAGCTGGAGTTCTCAAGTAGCAGCAGTGAGGCAACCAGCTCCGGCGAAACGGATAGCGAAGGTAAAGCAGTCGATGCCCCTTCTGAGTCCCAAGCCAAATCAATTTCATACTCCAGATAGCAGCAAATCCGATCCAGATGTCAATGCCAAAGTGGCAATTGCTACGTGTCCATCCGATCCAACCGATCTGCAGACAAGAACCTACAGTCTGCTGGCTGGGGACTCGGACAACGACTTGGATGAGGTGGAAATCTTCTGCGAGGAGGCCATCTCCCTGCTGGCCCACGAGATCCTTTGCTGCGAGTGCGATAGTGAGTCTGATTCGGAGTCTGATTCGGAGTCTGATTCAGAGCCGGAGCCGGAGCCGGAGTCGGAGTCGGAAGAGATGGGGACAGAAGGCGAGGAGACGGATGACACCAAGGACAACAAGGGCAAGATGATGCCAAGCGGCATCCTTGAGAGCGGGCTGCAAAATCCCTACCAGCTCATGTTCAGCGAGGAGGACGACGACCAACCCAATGAAATTGAGGAGAAAAAGGGGGAGGAGAGCTGGCCGATCCTGCTGGAAGGAGATGAACAGAGCGAGGAGAAGCCCGAGTCAAAGGGGGCATTCTGAAGACAAACTCCACTCTAGCATCTGCAGTAGATTTTCACATTTTTACTAACACGAGCCTTAAATAAAATTTGCTGGCTAACTATGAGACAAAGGCATAGCAATATTATTCGTGGAGACCCTTTCAAATGGCCAAAATTATTCGACACTCAGCATTTAAGCTATCCCTTAATAACTAAGTTATTGATTAAAGCGATCATAGACCATTAACATCTATGCATTCAGCAAATTAGCATAAATTGTTTTATGTACAAACTAAACTAAACTAAATTTAATCAGTCAAGTCTGGACGTGTAAATAAAAAGTATATCTTTATCAACATATTCTCTTTTTTTTGACTGAATCAGCCGAATTTCATGACCCTGTAGATTTGGTTTCAAACAAAAAGATACAAAGAAAAATGTTGGGAACATCCAAGTCTAACAAATTTAAGATTTTTACAAACCGACTCTGCTATTAATGTACATATACACTTCAAGTCTTGGAGAACTTTTGTTTTAATCTATATTAACGTTTAGTTACAAATGAACAAAATTAGGCTTAGAAATCTTTCGATAATGTTTAGATTGTTCAATGAAAAATTAAAACTCTTGATATTTCTATAAAAAATGTAAAAAATATATATACAAATCGAAATATACCAATAACATATTTGCACTTTGTATTGAAATAAAAGTGTTTTAATATCTAATCTCGTTTTAAACATAAAAATTAAAAAAATAATGTATCAACGATTGTTTTGTAATATTTTAATATGAAAATGTGGGTTTTGTGAGCCCCATTTAATTTATAGTATTAGCTTCATGAAAATATGAGAAAGAATTTTTAAAAGTTGCTTTAAAGCTAGTTTTGATTGTTGTTTTTTAAAAGCTTACAAAAAACAACTATTTTCATGAACGCAGCTGTATGTACTTCATCGCTTTAAATCTTCCTGTTCACACTTTTAAACAAATACAACAAATACCCTGAGCTGCCTTGTAATGGAGATACCCTACTCTACTTAGAACCCTGTTTGCTAAAATGTGATGAACGTCTCTAGACAATTAGCTTTTAAATGGAATAAGCGATCGATTGACTCTGTTTTAAAACTACCAATTGTTTGTCAGAATCACTTTGATTTATTTGGTTTTTTGCAATGAAAATTTTTCCGTATTCATTACTTCAGAGCTTTTGCTCTTGCCGTTGCGATCACGCCAACTTCCTGTTTCGGATATATTTTCCCCTGTGTCACTCACCTGTTCACACTCAAAGTGGCTGGATGGTGGCTCCGGACATCAGGACACCTGAGGGAGATTGGTGACGGCGATGCTGACGATGATGTTGATGGTGATGTTGATGGTGATGGCGACTGTGACTTCAACGAAGTGCTTGACGGACGAAGGCAACAGGCGGGCTGAACAGCTTTCCCTTGGCAGGTGGCATTTAGTATTTAATATTTCGCCATTCGGTTGTACCGCCCCTCGGTTGCCTCACTGTTTGCCATTTACCATTGGGCATTTAGCATTTAGCATTTAGAATTTGCATGGGACTGGTCTTTAGTCTTTAATTGCAAACTGGCAGCTGCAATTGCTGGCAACTAAAACTTAAAACGACGACAAAGGATGAGTAAGAGCGATGCGAAAATGAAATACAACATCGGGCGGAAAGCGAAATGTTTTCGTTATGCGAGCAATGCAATGCAGTCTGCTGCTGCTACTGCTGCCGATGATGATGGTGATGATGATGATGATGATGATTGTGATTCTGATTCCCACTTTGCTTCCTTTTCGACTGCACTTAACGTAATCGGCGTTTCGGTGTTGGCTTTCAAATTGCCCGCGACCGCGTCAAAGCGACCACAAAACTAGCTGAACGAACGGACAACCGGCGACCACCTACCATCTACATACATATGCACCATCGACCATCGAGGACCGCAGGCCAGGTTTTAGCCAGCTATCAGCCGGGCTTAGTTTGGTTTTTGGGTTCGGTTTGGTTGGCTTTAGTTTGGTTTGCTTCCGCTGGTTGGTCTCTGTTTGGGGTGCAGTTTAATGCGACTGCAACTGTTGCGGGGGCAGACAAAAAACAGCGCATCAAAATCACTCACCTCGCACTCAAAACAACACACACGTGCGACCGGAGTATGGTGTGCAACAAAAAAAAAAGGAAGAATGGATCCTTCCCACCCAGAGAGTGAGACTAAAATGCCAGTTGGGGGAACTCCAAGCGGCAAACTATGAACAGTGATTTTGGGGGTCGCGTCAAGTCAGGACTTGTCGAGATTTGCGAGAGATTTGCGGGCCACGCACGTGTCCGCATCCGCATCCGGTACCCGGTACTGATGTCAACAAGCTACCACACGCAACTAATTCAAAAATCCAGCGAACGGATTACGGCCGCGGTCCGCATTGCCAGCCGAAGCCGAAGGCGTCGCCAATCGTTGGTCTCGGCGCGGCCCGATGACGAACCCGAAGCCGCCAACGAGTGCTTCGGGCGGCGCTCGGCGGCGCTCGGTGGCGCTCGATGTCGTTCGTCAGACTTCGGCCGGTGTGTCGGGTCATCGCTCGTCATCGGTGTCGTTCGGAGGTCCCGTTAGTCCCCAGTCGTTGGTCGCCAGTGGTGTGGTTCGCACGTGGCCCGGCGGAAAAGCAGCTCTCTTTCTTTCGCCCACTTTTTACACGCCACCAGCGGGTATTAACGTGATGTGCGCTTTTTTTAAAAAAAGAAAAAGCAGCTTAACCTGCTTTTGTGACCTTTTCCCTTTTGGCCAACACGTGGCCAACAGCATCAGCAGCCTCACATTTGTCCACCTTTATCGATGGAGATGGAGATGGATAGTGTGTGTGTGCCATGCGTGTTGATAAATGAGTTTTATTTTGATTTTATTCACTGGTTTGCCTTGTTTTTTGCATATTCATTGAAGGGGCTTCGTCTCTGATTCTGATTCTGTGATTTTGATTCTGATTCTCACTCTGATTCTGATTCTGATTCTGATTCTGATTCTCAGTGTGATTCCGATTCCCCGATTGCAACACCCTTCCACCGCCTGATCCCCATGTGCGATGCGAATGTGTCCGGCATCGAGTGCAAATCCTCTGCCACCTATTGCCTTCGGCAGGGGCCGTGCTGAAATGGTTTTCAATTTATTAGCAATCAGTGGCATTAACAGCTGAATGCGATGCTGTTGCTCCCCAGCGGATACGGCCACTCGGATTATGGCCGGGCCAGTCAGATAGGAAGCCAGTTGTCACTGATCATTGGCCGGGCCGATAAAGCGGCCCGAAGTGGGGCAGAAGGTATGGGGCATGAGTGTGCGAGAATATAGCATGTGGTCTGTTGCTGCACGAATGCCAAGATAATTCAACCATTGCAATGGGATGGGGATCATTTAAGGAATTATGGGCTTAAGAGCAACTCCTTAATTAATGAAGACCCATTAAATAGTTCATATTTTACGAGCACTTGCGGTATGAGTTTGTAACTAACAATACTTTTCGGCTATATAATCTATATAATATAATAAATATTATGGGCTAATGCACCTGAGAACGGGGCAAGGACAAAGTTGAAATAAAGTATCTAACTAAAAAAAAAAGAAATGGAAAAATAGTGTCTTTAAAAAGGGTGCTTCTTCGGCCATAACTTTCGCATAAACAAAATTTGTTGTAGACTGCAACACTTTCGAGAAATTTTCTTCTTTTTTCTGCGTATATGATTTCTTTTACAACATTCTGGACAAGTTTAACGATAACACCCTTGCCCCTAGATTAAATTGTTCAAAATGTCACAAATGACAAGCAAGCGAGCTCATTAAGGAGATAATTAAATACTTTAGGAAAAATATATGAACTTTAAACGCAAAAAATGTACGTAAAATAATGTAATGGGCAAGTATTTGACTTTAGAAAAAGGAATTCTTAATTTAAGTCGATAATAGTTAAAGGCTAAAAAATAGTCAAAAACAATACATAAATTAAAGGTAATATTGACTTACAAGAAATTGATTTCAAATAATGCCACCATAGTTTCAATTTAAAGTCACCCCACTAATATTCAAATTTTAGTCACAATTGCATTGCATCAAATCAATCAACCGTGTTTGGACATGCTCCCCCTGATTTTGATCTAATTAGAACAATAGAAAACTGAAAATGATAATTAAACTAGATTAGGGAATGAAACACAAGAATCACACAACGTACATTATTGAGAAACATTAACGGAGACTTACTTTGGCAAGCCAGTTGTAATACCTTTGCAGTCAAGGGATGGATACGAGTCGACACAAAACCATTATGTAAGGTACACAAACCTTGTCAATTTATCCGTGCACAAATAAAAAATACGATTTGAAAAGTTCCAAGATTCTGTATCTTACACTGCTCGAAAAATCACATGAATTTTCGATTTACGGTTTAAATTTCATCAAATCCCATAGGAACAATCGGAAAAATAAATGAAAAAAAATTATAACTTAGCTGTTTTTTAATTTTTTGTTTAGTTCTTTGACATTTAGAAATGGTTACATATTTTCGATTGACGGTTTAAATTTCATCAAAGTCGGACGACTATATCATATAGCTCCCATAGGAACAATCGGAAAAATAAATGAAAAAAAATTATAACTTAGCTGTTTTTTAATTTTTTGTTTAGTTCTTCGACATTTAGTAATGGTAAAATATTTCCGATTTACGGTTTAAATTTCATCAAAGTCGGACGACTAAATCATATAGCTCCCATAGGAACAATCGGAAAAATAAATGAAAAAAAATTATAACTTAGCTGTTTTTTAATTTTTTGTTTAGTTCTTCGACATATAGTAATGGTTAAATAATTCAGAATTGTGGTTTAAATTTTATCAAAATCGGACGTCTATATCATATAGCTCCCATAGTAATAATAAAAATATATAAAATAACTATCAAATATTTGAGCTGCAAATCATCATAGCTTCAATGTTTTTAAACAAATACGAAAGTAAATCATAATTTTAATGTTTTCAAAAATGTTTAATTCTTGCAATAGCTGCAAGGGTATATGAACTTCGGCTTGCCGAAGTTTGCTTTATTTCTTGTTTTACTATGTTTTTACTAATACAAGCGACATTATTTATCTTTTTATTTCTTCATTTGACATCCTAGCACTACAAGTTAAAACTCTTTATTTTTTGTGTTAGTCACTTAAAATTATGGTGTGTTATCCAATAATTTAACAAAATAGAAAAACAAAATTTTAGGGCATGTTACAAATATTTTTTAGGGGATTAAATTTTCAGAATAAATTTTCAACATTTATTATAGTTCTAGCAGCAATGATTCTGAGGTGAATTCATATATATCAATATAAATATATATATATATATATATATATATATATATATATATACAAAAATTGTTTTTATAAATTGTTATATATTTGTTAGGTTTAATAACGCGCCGGTTACTGGACCTTATTTTGTATTTATAACTCGATTTATAATAGTAAAAATTTGTTTAATTTTATGCTCGCCAAATTGTTTGTCCTTAGGGAATTAATTTAGTACTTCTGCTGAGATGCAGTTAAGGTATCTTTAAAGTAACACCGCCAGTTTTCAAATGCTTTGAAATGTGTGCAAAGTGTACCGATTGTACTCACTGAGCTGGTGACCCCCTAGCCCTTAACCCTTGCCATTGTACTGCCATTGAGGAGTCCACGATCGGTTTTGCATTTATGCTGGCCCAATGTGCGGCCTAATGCGCTCAGCCCGGAACCGCAGGGGCGGCAAATTGGTCAAGTCGGTTGCTGGCCACGTAGCCAGCGTCTTGTGGCTGCAGGTCCCATACCCATTCCCATTCCCACTCCTATTCCCAGTCCCAATCCCAGTCCCATTCCCATTCCCGCTACCAATCCAATGCCAATGGCAATGGAGATGTAGATGTAGATGGAAATGGCGATGCAAATGGCAGGAAATGCGTGATAACGACCGGCAGCACACATAGAAGATATTGAAAATTTGAATGAGGCACATGGACACGGAAACGAGGAGTGAGTCGATTCTCGAGATGGAAATGAATGCGGGACGAGGGGCAAAGCCATATCCTGGCCCTGACTGTGATGTCTTTGTCACTGTATTTGTAGTTGTAGTTGTAGTTGTGGATGTGGATGTTGTGAAAGTGTCGACACCAGTCCCGGCCAGGCCAAACACATGGCAAATGGCACATGGCACATGGCACATGGCAGACGCTGCTCGTCCAGTGTCCTGTCCCAGACCCACGGCCACGCCCACCTGCTCAGTCGCCCCACAGCCACACATCCTTCCCCTATTTGTGTTCCCGCCTAGTGTGAAGGAACGAGCATAAAGAACCGCAAAATCATGAAATGCAATAATGAAGGCCTCATGGTCGATCGCTCAAACACTCGCTAACACACACACTCACACCCGTTGCGATATAGTCACACAAAAGGGGAGCTCAGGACGATGGATAAAGGACGAAGAACGAAGGATGAAGGACGAAGGATGAAGGGGATGCGGCCGATGCATAGGCAGCGAACCCAACCAGCCGCTGGATGAGGACCAGGCAAGACGTGCAATCGACACGACTGTCAATGCACTGAACAAACAAATTGAAATAAGAGGTATAACAGGAATAAGCCTGGTTAACCAGCTACATCCGTTGGATCCCTCCAATTTCAAATGTATAAAAACATATTTCTAAGATCAACTCTCTCTTTGAACCGTACCCCATTTGAGCTTAACAAAAAGCCTACGTTTATATACATACAACATATAAAATAAAATTCTAAAAAAAATGCTATATTTTAATTTGTATATGTTTAAAAACAATAAAGCCATGTCAATTTTCTAATGAATTTTTAGATCATGTCCCGTTTTGATAAGATTAAAGCCGTAAATAGTAATAGTTTTCTGATATTTTTATAAGCTTTCGTACCTATAATTATGTTATAATTATGTATTTTTTTACAATTGTTCAGTAAAATGGAAGCTATATGATATAGCCTACCGATTTCAATAATATTTAAACCGTTATTCTGTAATAGTAACCATGACTTTATGTCGAAGTATGGTCAAAATAAATAGAAAACTCAAAATGTTTTTCCTTTTTCTTTTATTGTTCCTGTGAAAGCAAGTATGATTTAGTATTAAGTTATAATAGTCCAATCCGACTTGTATACTACCTGCAATAGAAATATGCCCTTTTGGATAGTTTCATTCAAAAGAACTTTAATACAGAGAGAATAGTTTGCGTAGAAACAGGCAGACGAAGAGAGGGATGATTGAGATCAAGTATATTTATACTTTATGCAACCAAGAATACGCACTTAAGAATTATAAGTTGCATGTG